TGTCCTCGCTGAGTAGACGGGTTGCTGATAGTTTTCTGCCCGGTTGAGACGCCTGGGGTGTTAGAAAACCAGGTTGGGACTCAGCGAGGAAGGACAGGGTTGTGATCGGGGGACAGACATGTGAACAGGGCGGAGGAGTGTGCGGGAGACGAGGCGCGCGGTCTGTTGAGATGGTGCATGAGCCTGCAGGGAAGCCCAGACCTACTCCGCCCTCGAGCAGGTCCCTGCGCAGTTCTGAAACGGGCGGTGCCGGCCCTGCGTTACTGACTGGCATGGACAGATGACGGCGGGAACGAAGCACCTCTCAGTGAACCTGGAAGCGGCGTCTGTCTGTGAAATCCCTGTGGTCAGCCACTGTCACAGACAAACGGGCTCACGTGGAAGTCCAATGACCCACAAGTCCCCAAGAAAGTGCCGCGGAGTAGGCGTGGGTTCCACTGTGTACTAGTTTCGAGGCTTTGCCGAGTTACTTGAACTTTCCCTCCTGTGAAGTGGGAGGACTACTGGGAGTCCTGACCGCGGCAAGGCCACAGGACACAGCGCAGCACCCAGCACCGGGTAAGTCAGGGATGCTGGTCGTTACTAAGTCACACAGCTCTGCTTCCAGGCCACGTGGACATGGCAGGAGCCGGTGTGGTGAAGGCAGCGCAGAAGGGAAGGGCAGGTTAAGGTTAGCGTTAGCGAATGCTCTCTCATTCAGTCCTCACAACAACCTTGAGAGATTCTCATCCACCTCACAGATCACTGTGTCCAGTGGAACTGGGGCTTGAACCCGCACTCACTCCATTTGGCAGCATAACCACCCGGACACTGGAGGAAACGGCTTGTTGAATAAACACTGGCCTTGGCTTGTGGCATATTTCTTTGAACATAATCAATCACATGTTAGTCCACACCTCCCATGTCTTTTTCAGACTCCTTTTTTTTTTTTTTTTTTTGTGAGGAACATCAGCCCTGAGCTAACATCTGTGCCAATCCTCCTCTTTTTGCTGAGGAAGACTGGCCCTGAGCTAACATCTATTGCCAATCCTCCTCTTTTTTTTTCCCTTTTTCTCCCCAAAGCCCCAGTAGATAATTGTATGTCATAGTTGCACATCCTTCTAGTTGCTGTATGTGGGATGCCGCCTCAGCATGGCCGGACACGGGGTGCATCGGTGTGCCCCCGGGATCCGAACCCGGGCCGCCAGTAGCAGAGCACGTGCACTTAACCGCTAAGCCACAGGGCCGGCCCCCAGACTCCTTTCAATGATCCTGCCATGGAGCAAAACACCTGCTCTGTCTAATCTCAAACACGTGGCTGTCCCCAACCCCAGTGTCTCTTTCTGGACAGACCCACAGACTCACGCATCTCCTTGTGCCCTAAGCCACACCTCCACCTGAGCTCCAGCTGCTGGTAGTTAAGATGCTGCCCTGGGTCACAGGATCGGGGTTAGAGGTCTGAAATTGCAAACACTGCTCAGAATTGAGTTAGTGGTAAGAAACTCAAGTTGTCATTTGAGAACCTTAGTCTGCTGCACACAACCAAGCCAGACACAGAATCCAGTTTTTCCACGCTTGAAGATTCCATACTTACTGCCTTTAAAAGTATGCAGAATAGGGCCGCCCCGTGGCTTAGCGGTTAAGTGCGTGCGCTCAGCTGCTGGCGGCCCGGGTTCGGATCCTGGGCGCGCGCACCTGACACACCGCTTCTCCAGCCATGCTGAGGCCGTGTCCCACATACAGCAACTAGAAGGATGTGCAGCTATGACATACAACTATCTACTGGGGCTTTGGGGAAAAAAAATAAATAAAAATTATTAAAAAAAAAAAAGTATGCAGAATAGTGAGGCAAAAAAGGTTGTGATATGAAATTCTGCTGGAAACACGCTCAGCTTTCCCGTTGGGAAAGGTTAAAGAAGTGAACTGTTATGCAGGAGTCCTGTGACACAAAGCCTTGGCTGGCTCAAGGGTTTTAAAAATCTGTAGCTATAGAGACAGTCCCTGTCCCCCCCGGCACAGAACTCCACAGCCACAACTCTGCTGGAGGGCTTTTGTCCCGGGCTTGGGCCTGCAAGGGCCACTGAAAGGGCTATCACTAATGCCCCTGGAAGCCGTGCTTGGCTAAGGGGGCCAGGGGTCCTGGATAAATGCCCCTGAAGGTGTGGGAGCTTGCTCTGCATGGCCTCCCAGAATTTCCTTGCAAGACTGAGCTCCAGTTACTCACGGCAGTGCCCGCTCATTCTCCGCCTGCACCTGACTGGCCCCTTCCAGCTGGTGCTTTTGTGGGTCAGCTTCAAAGAAATCCAACATAAGACAGTCAACAATAGCTTCTGGAACCCTTTCAGACACACAATCCTGATTTTTAATATAGCACCAAAGTGACTTTATAGTGTGTTGGGGAAAAAAAAGTCACATCCCTATACCACTTTGCAAAAATGAGCATGCTAACAATGTCATATAAATTGAATTAGGAAAAGCAGTAGACTGATAACTCAGTAGTTTTAATCTCAGAACTCAACCACCCAGCCTTTCAACTTTCCAAAATCATGGCCTACACATGAATCAGATATAGGTGAACTCAAAGATTTCTGTAGGGGCCAGCCCGGTGGCGTAGCAGTTAAGTGTGTGCACTCCACTTCGGTGGCCTGGGGTTCGCAGGTTCGGATCCCAGGTGCACAAGGACACACTCCCTGTCAAGCCATGCTGTGGCAGCGTCCCATATAAAGTAGAGGAAGATGGGCATGGATGTTAGCTCAGGGCCAATCTTCCTCAGCAAAAAGAGGAGGGTTGGCATCAGATGTTAGCTCAGGACTAATCTTCCTCACAAAAAAAAAAATTTCTGTAATATGAGAAACACAATGTCATTGAAAGGAAACTGGAAGTACATTATTATTGTAATCATAAATGTTGCATCTGAAAGTTGCTAAGAGATCTTAAAAGTTATCACAGGAAAAAAAATTCTGTAACTATGGTGACGGATGTTAACTAGACTTATTGTGATCATTTCCCAATATATACAAATATCAAATTAATTTCAGGTTATAAACCTGAAACTAATATAATGTATGTCAATTATATCTCAATAAAAACATAAATTTTTAAAAAGCAAAACAAATCATAAACATTTATGAGCCTAGATCAGGGTGGAGAACAATTTACATTATGCTTTAAGAACTATAGGTTAATGTCTTTCTTTTAATATTCTTTAATGATCTGTGGAGGCGGGCCGGCCCCGTGGCTTGGTGGTGAAGTGTGCGCGCTCCAATGCTGGTGGCCTGGGTTCGGATCCCGGGCGCGCACCGAGGCACCACTTCTCCGTCCATCCTGAGGCCGAGTCCCACAAACAGCAACTAGAGGGATGTGCAGCTATGACATACAACTATCTACTGGGGCTTTGGGGGGAAAAAATAAATAAATAAAATCTTAAAAAAAAATGATCTGTGGAGGCTGATTGTGTTAAATATACACGTTTACTTAAAGAACAAGTGTTTTATCTCAACAAGGAGACCTCACACGCCTCACTCAGAGGAAGACAGTTCCAGAAGCTACGGCCAGGCCATGCTGTACCTGCTCTGCTGGGCAGAGGGCAGAGGGTCAGGGTTGTGGTCCTAGTGTTGAGCACACAGGTTGCCCGGTGTGGTCTGGCTGCTCCAGGGACCACATGCCATTGTTGGAGAAGCCTCTTCACCTCCAGGACCCCCTTAAAGGAGGTGTGAGGAGTGGTGTCGGTCCACACACGAGACAGCAGAGGGGGTATTACTCCCGGCGCTCTTCTCGAGCACCATGTGTCTGATGACTGGGAGGTGACATCACTTATGACCCATCAGAGGGCCAAAGTCTGCAAACAACTCAATTCTGTAACTCTGAGCACAAAGTGACCTTCCTTCTCTAGGCGGCTGCGAGCGCCAGCTGCACCTTCCTCCACTATAGCAGGGCAGCCCTTTCATGCCACTCACCTCCTATTCCCAGCTAAGCATCTTCTGGTGCTCAGCGAACGATTTTCCAAAGGGTGGACAGACATGCGCCATCTGAATGGGTGAAGTGCAAGGGGGATCCACCATTAGAGAGGATGCTGCCCCAGGGCAGATACACCAGGCAAGACCCTAACTACAAGCGGATCTTTGGAAATGGATTTGGAGAACTGGGGCAAAGGCAAAAGCGCCCTCCCAAAACACTAGGGCCCCTAAGAGCTGCCCTCCCTCGTGTGTAACTGCACCTGCCCTGCCCTGTCCAGTGTGTCCTCGGGGCAGAGTGTGGGGGCAGCAACAGAACAACCCATTCTATCAGGAAGTGCCCATAACCCACGGTTCCAAATGCCACCGCACAGGGGAGGCAGAAGCAATGAGAGCAGCAGGGAGGAAACCAGTGCACATTGCACACCCCTAGGGACACGGGGAGCTAAGTGCACTCTGCCTGTCTTGCAGTCATGGGGCATCCTCGGCCCTTTATCCCAGATTCCTACGAAGGGGCTCTTCAGTTGGTTATCACATGGCCGAGATTATAAACTGCAACACAATCCTGTAGTCCAGGACAGACCGACAGCCCCGCGGGGTTAGCACTGGCTACGCAATACAGAGACAGTCTCCATCCACAGGATTTATTGGTAAGGTATCCCAACAGTTCTCAGGTGTCCCCCCACCACACGACCAGACCAGCAAGAGGTTCTCATGCACACCCGTCCACACAGCAGTAGGTGGCAGGGTTTTAATCCTCTAGGGGCTCAGTATCCCCAATGATGACTGAGCACGAGGAGAGGGCCCAGCAAGGAACCAGTGACCATCAGCTCAGAGGGTCCTTTCACCGCAGATTCCATTAGCATTCTGGTGAAGTCACAGGAGCCAGGAAGAGCCCACACACAAGCCTGGGCATGAACAGGCTGCTCAGGACCTGCCTGCTGCACTGCCCCTGGATCCACCCGCACCATGAAGCACTAGTGCCATAAACCTGGGAACTCGAGAACGGCTCCACACAACTGTGACCCTCCCATGGGGGAAACCATCTATAAACACAAAACTGAATCATCCACCTCTCGAAGACTTGACTAATCCCGGGTGGGGAAATCGGTACACAGAGCTCAGAAGCCCTCAGCAGAGACCAGGGAGGGCTGAGTCTCAGGAGAAAGGGAACCTGGGGGAGCCAGTAAGGAGCCACTTCCTGGGCCCGGCAGATGCCGCAGCCCCACGGGCAGTCAGGGAGGTCCCACTATTTGGGCCAAGATGGCTCCTCCCCTCGGAGGGGGGACTGCTGGGGAGCCTCCTCCTCCCCGGCATCTTGCTTCTCCCGCTCAGCATCGCTCCACCTCTGAGGCGCGATCATCTTCTTGGGCCCATGAGGCGGCGGGCCAATGAGGGCCTCGATGTCCTCGTAGTTTATCACTTCCTTTTCCAGCAGGGTGTTCGCCAGCTAGGAAGAACAAGCAGGGCAGTGTGTGAGCCCCCGACAAGGACAGACAAGAGCCTTTTGAGAGCATAGCACCCAGAAAAGGGGGGCCTCCCAGGAAGGGGCGTCTTTGAGCAGGCGGCCTGACAGGCCACTTTCCCAGGGAAGCAGTGCACACAGGCAGCTCAAGTGAAGAATCGCTCCCTGTCTCAACCTTGGAGAGGCTTTTCCAGCTGCCAGCGTCATTAATCTTTCCACTTCCCTTCCAAATCTCTGCTTATTTTGGGCAACTTCGATTTCCTTTACCAAACAAGGTGTGTGTGTCTGCATGTGGGAGAGTGAAGGGCTAAAATGCAGAACCCCCTCACTGGGATTTGGGGAGAGGGGTGCTGGCATTGAGGCATGAGAGCAAGGGGCCCTCACAATTCAGGAAGGGAAGCTCTGCCTCTCTAGATGTGGTCGTGGAAAACATACTGAATGAATCCTGTGAGCAGCCTGCACCAGCAGCTCATCTCTGCCGGCTCAGTCCCGACTACAAGGAACGCTGTCATGGCCACGCCATACCAGTTTCCGTCACCCCCAGACTGAGGCACCTGCTTCCTCTGCACACTGCTCTAATTCTTGCTGAGCCCTGTAACCCACCAATGATGTGAGATCATAGTGTAGACGGGAGGTAGGACACCCTCGACCCACCACAGGAGCCTGAGCCCTGCCAGGTGGCGGCAACAGTTGTTAACGGCAGGTTCCAGCTCAGCAGGTCTGGTGGGCCTGACGTTCTGCAGGCTCACAACTCACAGCGAGGCTACTAGCTGCTGGTCCAGGGGCGACACTCCGAGCCCCTCCACAAGGAGCTGCCCACCTCTACCAGGGGCACAGTACCTTCACCTCCGGGGTCAACTCCCCCAAACCCAACACCCCGTTCTCACTGTGAGAACATCTGAGGATGCTTTTCACACACCAGACCAGGTTGCCTAAAAGGCCAAGGCCATCAAAACAGGCAAGTGAGGGGCCGGCCCTGTGGCTTGGTGGTTAAGTGCGCGCGCTGCGATGCTGGCGGCCCGGGTTCGGATCCCGGGTGCGCAGCGAGACACCACCTCTCTGTCCAGCCTGAGGCCGAGTCCCACATACAGCAACTAGAAGGATGTGCAGCTGTGACATAACAACTATCTACTGGGGCTTTGGGGGCAAAAAA